GAGCGCCTGGGCTTCAGGCACCGGCTGCACGCCGCCGCCGTGCCCAGGCTGCCCGCGCTGCTCACCGAGCGCCCGCTGGCCCTGGGCACCCTTAACAAGGTCTTCGCGTCGCAGTGGCTGAACCCCAGGCAGGTGGTGTGCGGCACCAAGTGCAACACGCTCTTCGTCCTGGATGTGCACTCGAACCAGATCACGCGCCTCCCGCTGCTGCGCGACCGGACACCGGCGCCGGCCCGGGCCCAGGCCCAGGCCACCTGTGGCATCCACGCCATCGAGCTGAACCCCTCCAAGACGCTGCTGGCCACGGGCGGCGAGAACCCCAACAGCCTGGCCGTCTACCAGCTGCCTACGCTCGACCCCTTGTGCCTGGGCGACCGCCTGGGCCACCGAGACTGTATCTTCGCCATCGCCTGGATGTGCGACGACGTGGTTGTGAGCGGTTCCCGAGATGGCACGGTGGCGCTGTGGCGAGTGGATCCCGACATGTGCTCCGGCAGCCTCGCATGGCACAGCAACGCGGGGCTCCCGGTGTACGCCCATCTCCATCCCAGTGACATGGAGGCCATCCCCAGGGCCAGCACCAGCCCCACCAACCGCAAGGTCCGTGCCCTGGCTTTCAGCAGCCAGAACCAGGAGCTGGGGGCCGTGTCCCTGGACGGGTACTTCCACCTGTGGAAGGCCCGGAGCAGCCTGTGCAGACTGCTGTCCATCAGGCTGCCTTTCTGCCGAGATAACGTGTGCCTGAGCTACTGCGACGAGCTGTCCCTGTATGCCGTGGGCTCCCAGGCCCACGTCTCCTTCCTGGATCCACGCCAGCGCATCCAGACCATGCGGCCACTGTGCTCCAGGGATGGCGGCACTGGCGTGCGCTCTCTGAGCCTCTACCAGCACCTCATCACCATAGGCACCGGCCAGGGGTCCTTGCTCTTCTATGATATTCGCGCCCGGAAGTTTTTGGAGGAAATGGCGGCAGCCAGCCCAAGCACCAGTCCAGTGCCCACCGGAAGGAAGCTCAGGCTGAACGCCGGGAGAGGCTGGCTCAACCACAATGACCACTGGTTAAACTACTTCAGCGGTGTGGAAGAGCTCCCCAATGCCCTCTACACCCACTGCTACAACTGGGCTGATATGAAGCTCTTCGTGGCTGGGGGCCCTCTGGCTTCAGGCCTCCACGGCAACTATGCGGGCCTCTGGAGCTAAGTGCGTAGATCTACTTTTATGTTTTGCCTGACTTCATTCAGTGATGGTGGCTTTTCATTCATTGGCTATTTTTCTCCCCACAGGTACAACACTACCAGTTGGCCAGGATTTGGAGTGTTCGATGGAGATGGAGAGAGAAGGATGGACCCTTGAGGCAACCAAAAACGTGGCTTTATGCATTTTCTGCACCTTGTCCAGCACCAACCACCATCTTTTTGCCTTTTCGTACAAAGAATTTTGACTCACCCTAATTGCTTCTCTCTCTAGGTGATTCAAGTATTCCGTTTACACTGATAAAGATGACGTCTTGGTCGTCTAATTAGTATACATTATTTTTCTATTTAATGTATTACAACAAAAACTTTTTTTAATTTTTCATTGCAGATAGATGGTATTTTAAGAGTCACTTTTGCTAAACAGGGTTTATACATTTGTTCTGAAGAGCTAGCTGTAGTTTTATAGCATTGTTACAATTGAGAAACTCATTCAAATTAAAAATGACAAAATTTTGGAAACCTTTGATTTTTAAGTTGGGCTCTTAATGTCCATAGTTTATACATTGTTGGTGCTACAGATACTTTTGAAAAAATATATTTTCTTTGGGGAAAACAAGTTATCTTAGATTCTTGGTGGCTTTTTGTACCAAAATGCCAATTGGTCAGTACACTTCAGTAATGGAAGAGTTCTGGTTAATTGAATGCTCAGAGTTAATCCAAAGTTAGAATTTTTTTTTAAAGAATTAAAATTTTATTAACTGATGTTAAATAAACAGAAGCTTATTTTGTTCACTTTTGCCTTAGTGCTATCTAACCTTGTGACTACATATAAATTTTTGTTTAAGGATCTTGCACCGAATTGTAGTGCCACCATTCAGAATCAGGGGTACTAAATATACCCCTGTAGGATGTATGGTAGTTTGGACTTAATGTATACTGATCCAGGAAAGAAACTGGATAATTTTCTGTTGGTAATATCAATGTTTTATGTTTTAAGTGTTTAATATATACAGGAATGAAGTCACAAGGGGAAAAAAGTTGCAAAGAAGAAAAAAACAGCCCATTCCATATTATTCTGAAAGAGTCTTTAATTTGTAATAATTTTTTGTGAATATCAGAGATTCTTCTTAAAAGTAAAATAAATGTGTAGTTAAATGTAGTGTTGTTATATAGCCCTCAGTGTAATAATGATTATCCATGCAGGAATCCCATTTCAAGATGAGCCTAGAGAATTAAAATGGGATCATGTTGGAAAAAAAACTACTTGGGGGCTTAAATTAATATAAGTTGTAGATTATTACTGAAATTGGTTATACTTCGTCGTATGTAAGGATGTTGGAAGTGAGAAAAGACCTTGGCCCTTCCCCCAAAGTGGCCAGGTTGTGCTAACCTTGGGTTAGTAATATGTAACCTGTTTTTCTTTAAACGTCTTGGCACTTGGGCATTGCTTTAGTCCATGCCCTACTTGTTAATTCACAAACTGATTTAAGAATTGTTCGTAGTTCAGTGGTACTGAAAATTAGCTTAAGACAGAAAAAGCTTTTTTTTTCTTTTTTGGAGATTGTTTCTACCAGTCCATACAGTTGTTAAATAAAAGTAAAATATGTTTGTGTGCATGTATGATTCTACAACTCAGTTTAATATCTAGAGGATAATGTAACTGTCATCTTTATATTCTCGTTTGTTTGTTTTTTAACTAATGCCCAGCAAATCACAGGCAGTCAGGAAATATTTACTGAGTGAATGTATTTGACATCTGGAGACCTAAAAGTTCAAGGACTTAGAACATACATAATACACAAATAAAAATTTACTCTTCAATAATATGGAATCCTCGTGTTACTTCCTCCCCCTCGCCGTTTTCATTTTAAAATGCCCTAATTAATTTCTAGAACAGGCCACGGGGTTTCTTCTGCACTCCTCGCCTTTCCTAGGTGTGATAGCAGAAAGTATAAATACAGACATGTTTTAATTCTCCTTGAAGACAATTAGATTTGGAAATCTATTTATGATATTTTCCAAAAATTAATTTTGAAAAGTTCTTCTATCAAAGTTTTGTAAGATTTTTTTGACATCAAAATATATTTGTCAAAAGTTTCCTTCAGCATCACCCTTGAACTACAAAAAGGTATTCCTTTCCAATCTGCTTGTGGTATTTGTCATAATTATTTGGGGAGGTTGGGAGTATATTTTCAGAGATGAGAATTTCTATGTTGGTTATATTTTGTGTTTTCTCCCCCTCTCTTATGTATACACCAGTTTATTTGGGGCCATCAATGAAGGGACAGATGTGGAGGGTGAGGAACATTGTTTAGGAAGCTGACAATGCGTATTATGGGAAGTTTGGCATTAATTATGGATGTAGAGTTGAAAGGTATCAATAGTTTCAATAGTTTTGGTGTCACTATATCCTTAAAAGGCTAAATTGGTAAACGTGTTATATATAATTGTCCAACAAAAATGGGGTCAAAAGCCTACAAGGTAGGTGCAGGGCAGCAAATTGGTGGCTTTTAAAGCCGTCTGGGAAGTGAATGAGGACTCTAACCAGCAGGAGTGCCCCAGGCATGCTATCTCAGCAGAAGCCATTACATACCTCTTGGTAAACTGATACAGTTGCCTTTAAATCTAAGCATGCGTCCACATCCAAGGGGATCAAGTGCATTCCTGGTCTTTGAATTGAGCAGAGATGCTCACTTGTGACCTAAACAACAAGCAGAGGGACAGGAGTAGCCTGGCAACACGTGACTGCCCAGTGAGCACACCCTCACCACAAGCAGTGGGGGCAAAGGTGCTTCCAAGATGTGGAGAGGGCAATCTGTCCTAGGGTGCATCCTACCAGATAATGTGCCCTCATTTGGTTCCCAGCTCCAGCTGCACCTGTATAAAAATAAGTCTAGACGCCAGAATTCTGCCGACAAATTCAGTCCCCCTTGGTACACAGATATCATGGGAATAAGGAAAGAGGCTTAATCCATGAAGAGCTATTTGAAATCCTGAAGGGCCCCCAAAATCAGGACGTACGCCCTCCTCTGCCTCCGTCTCCACCACCACCCACGCCAGTCCTGGTGGTATATGGAGACCAGGATTCCTCTGCTGGGAAGATCACCAAGAAACTGGGTGGCTGGGCAGGGGGGGGGGCCCTGCTAAAATCTGTATCCCCACCCAAAATTGACCCACTGAAACAAAGGCACCTTGACACCCCTGCCTCCAAAGTGATACAATTGTTGCTGTTGCTGTTGTGTGCTGCTACGTGTATTTATTCCTGCTCCATTTGAGATTGAACCACAACTGTACTTAGTGGTCCTTCAGGTTGACCCTGAAGGTCAGGACTTTATTTTACTCCGCTACTGTATACTTGATCTCTGAATATTTCTCCCGGTCTCATTGCTGCTCCCGGGTGCAGACTGGGCTTCTGAGCTGATTCCCAGGGCATCATGGGATGGAGAATCAGCGGCTCCTAAAGAGAAAAGATGGCAGCGATCTGTTCCAGTAATGTGTGTGCAGCCTAGGAAACCCTGGCAGTTCTACTATAATCTGAAAGTTCGCTATGAGGCACTATCCACCAATAGGCACCTAACAGCAACAATTCTCCTGCTTTGTTCACGGCATGTGTGGAAATAGAACGTGAGCCTATACTCTGATCTCTTTACCCTTTGTTTTTATTTTCATTACTGACACTGGCAAATTTCTTTTCAGGCCTAATCACCTGGCTTAACTCTCAACAACAACAATAAATAAATAACCTATGTTATGTCCACTTATATGTTTTCTGGACATATAATTCCAGTTAATCTCCTGTCAACTTGTGGATATTAAGAGTGAAGGGGTGGATTTTAGCCTGTCAATCAAGTCACACGGTAATACCCACCAGGAGGATTCTGGGAACTTCCTCTTTTTTTTCTCTTGGGAGAAGGTCCATACTCTTCTCTCTGCTTCACATTTCTGTGGAGCCCTGGAGATACTTACATTGTCATTGGATCCACTAGACGTTTCACCCACTAGCTTGTGATATTTCTACATTCGGCATCATTGCATGTGCTGTGTGAGACTAAAGAGGAATTTATGGACTAGTATCGGACAAATGGGCTAATATCAGACTTATGGATTGATCTGGACTGGGCTGGGATGTTTTCTCAAGAAACAATTGTTCTTTTGTGTAAATTTCTCTCTTACACACCTATGAGTGTCTCTGTAATTGTTTCTCTAGTCAACGCGGACTAATACATGTTGGTACCTTGGGAGGCAGGTACTAGAGAAACAAATCATAAAGATGGAAAGTGGATGCTTGTTTGAACTCTGTCTCATGGTAGTTGTTTCTTCTTTGGCTAGCCAGAGGTCAGATGTGGCCATGCAGTTTACTGGGCTGTGTTCTGGAAAGGATCTGGGAAGTTAAACTTTTCGTTCTTTTCTTGGTTGTTGTCTTTGGCTATTCTTGTGTGAAATGGCAAAAATGTATGTCATTAATGTATATTTTGAGCTCAGGGTGCGAAATCACCCCTAACGCTTGTCTCAGAGACCATGCTGCTTAGTGAAAATGGCAGACAGAAGGTAAAAATGGCAGACAGAGGCCCCACCCTGGCTTTTTGCAGTGAGAGGCCTAAGGGCATATTTCTTATAAGCGGAATATTAAGAAAAGGATTAAGATAAGATAGATAAGGATTGACCTTGACTGTTTGAAAAATTGAGTTTAGGATCTGGCTCTACTAAGTTTATACTGTTTTCTTCTGCCTATTATTGATATAATGATGTATGGAAAATATAAATATTTGTAAGTTCACTATTTCAGCATCAAGTTGGATCTTTAAATTGGTTAGGGAATGTGTGCAAAGAAGTCTCTGTAAAGATAAAGCCCACCCAGTGCTTTGGAATATACAGGACACTTGCATTGAAGAGATTTGCCTAGGGGGCTGTTGGCAGACTGAAGAAGAAAAAAAGGAACCCTTTGGCTTTTTAAATTTTGAACTAGTGGTTTGTGCCTGAGGCTGGAAAAATTTGGAGCCGGGAAGGAACTTTCCTCAAAACTTTTCACCCACTAACCTGTGATCTTCCTTCATTCCGCATCTGGCTGTGTGAGCCTACAGAGAAATTTATGGACTAGTATAGGACAGTTGGGCTAATATCAGACTTATCGACTTGATCTAGACTCGGTTGGGGTGTTTTCTCAATATATAATTCTTTGATATAAAGCTCTCTCTGACACACCTATGAGTGTCTCTTGATTTGTTTCTCTAGTCAACCTGGAATAACATATCTATTGATGTTGAAATACCTTTTTCTGAGAGAAATTAATGGAAGTACTATTAATTGTATAACTTGTGAAAGTGTGGAATAGTTGAAAAAAAATCATTGCCAGAAAACCCATCAATAGAGTTTACTTAAAAGCACACTAGGGCTATAAAGCCAACGGAAGAAGCTACGCACCATGTTTCCTTGAGAACCTTCACTTACCTATAGCCATGCATTAAACATGTTAGTCCTGGGTAGCTCTAACTACATACAATGGGGACCTTGAAAGTTTGCGGAAAAAAATGGGATTAAAATATTATGAGATGTTCCCACGAAATATCAGAAGTTCCCCATTATATGCACATATTCCTCCTCAAGCACTTTGCTAACTCCAAAATTTCTGTTCCTTGCATTGACTCATTGGAAACAATTCATCTTTAATGTTAAAATGAGGCAGTGAGGAGCAAACTTTCCAAATCAAGGATTTTCTACTGAAAAAAAAAGAGAAGACCACTCTGGGAAAAGAAAAATCAACTGTTAAATCCACTCTGGCATTAATGATAAACAAAATTCTCCAGAGGTTGATTTTTATCTGGCTGCACTCAGTGTTGAACAAGTTGTCAAAATTTCCCATTAATTGCTAATTTAAAGTGATTTTAGAAAGCAATTCATAAAACCCTCCCGGATATTTAACTGACAGCTTCCTAATCTTTGGAAGTATTAGGTAAGCCAGCTACATTAAACATGTCACTATGTGAGCCACTCAAGGATGCAGTTCAGTGAGAACGACAGGAACGCGTGTAAAAGAGAGGTTGCCTAGGCCACAGGTGTTTGCTTTAAGGGGTGTTATTTTAAGATCTGCTGAAAGGGCTGCCTAAGAGTACTTCCCATCACTGGCCTGTTGTAAACCCCCAAAAACCTAGCATTGGAGTTTGTCGTCCATGAAAGGGCAATGTGCTTACACGTGGCTGGAAAGAAGTGGTTGGGCTGATACTTGGGAAGCAGGACTGTTAACTACTAGGTGTTCTTTGCACAGGCAATGGTCTTTGCTCCACTTGCATTTTTTCTACCTTTTGTTTTCCATTAAACACGCTGACATTCCAGATAGAATAAAAACTTTCCTTCTCCATACTACCACAATGTGTGTTTTGTTATGTCTCTGTAGTATTTATTTAACAGATTGTAATGCAGTTAACTATGTTGGTACCCGGCACTCTAAACTCTGTCATCACAACACCCTGCACACAAGAGTTGCACGTAGCTGGCATTTGGGCTGGCCAGTGCAATGATTGACACATTGCTTTGGGGGATGGATTATTTTATCAGATTGCATGGTCAGAACATTAGAAGCTTAGATAAGGACTAAGTAGATGGATGCTAATTACCTGCAGCATGGCCTGTGATAGTGGTCATGGCAATCTGTGCTTTAGCAAAATGTGAACGTCATGGCAAAAGCAATAATCGCTTGCCTGTTTTGTCCAAGGCAGATATGGGATCTGGTAAGCCAAGATAAAATGGAATAAACACTATTTTAGAATAAGTAAAACCTGCATTTGAATCCCAGTTCTATTATTACTTGTTGAGTAGCCATAGTTTGC